AGTGTTCTACCTTTAACTATGGATATATCAACCTCAAACCAATAACATTTTGAAAAACAGAGTAATGAGAAAAACATAGTGGTGAAAAATACAGTTAAGCAAATAATTAATTCCTTTTATTTTATTTTATTTATTTATTTTTGTTAATCTTCACCCAAGGATATTTTTCCATTGTTTTTCAGAGAGAGTGGAACGTAGGGAGGGAGAGAGGGAGACAGAGAGAGAAACATCCATGTGAGAGAGATGCATTAGTTGGTTGCCTCCCACACGACCTGGACCAGGGTGTGCAATTGAACCTGCAACCTAGGCACATACCTGTCCGATGGCCTGGGGACTGGCGCCAGGCAAAGTGCTGGACCATTGTCTCACTTGCTCAGCCTTGTCTCCCACCCTGAAGGGCCTGCCTGGAGCATGTAGATTAACTCCCATCTTGCTCTTATCCATTCACATTCCAGAGGCTCCATGCATAGCTCCCGCAGGGCCAAACCCTAAGGGACAAATTCCAGCTACAACAGGCAGATATAAAGGACACAAGCCCCTACATTGAGTGCGGCTTCTAGGACTCGACCCCCGGAGTCTGTGAACCGGCCCGGAGTGCACCCAATAAACCTGAACCTGTTTATTCGGCTGATTGGCTCTCCAGTCTCTTCTCTGTTTTATTTGGCAGCGCCCCCCGATTCCTTACAATACCCTTTACTGGAATCAAACCCAAGGCTCTTCAATCCATGAGCCAACCCTCTAACCACTGAGCAAAACCAGCCAGGGCTCTTTATTTTTAAATATAAATCATTTGTCTTTTATCCTCTGACTTTACCCAGTGCCACTGTAATCCGGTTACAATGTTTTAAAACACTAAGATTTTAGCATTACTCCAGAACTAGAGCTGAATAAGAAAATAATTTAGGTTGCATACATAAAAAAAAAAACACAAAAAACAACTTTAGGTGTGTTTTAGGGATCCTCCACCTGAATTTGCAGTTCTGAAAAATCTTCTATAAATGAACAATAAGTGCTCCTTCCCTCGGCTCATGGACCTAGAGACATTAATACCATGTGTGGTGCTGCAGAAGAGGGAGTTTGAGGTTGGGAGCAGTTTATCCTCTAAACAACTCAGAGGCACTCTGCCCCCTGGTGGACTGTTGAAGGATGGGCTTTGATGAAAGGAAGAAGCATCATTTCCCACATCCTTCCCCTACCAGCCTCTTTGCTTCTGTAAACTCCAGTGGATGCCTCAGTTGAAAGCTTTTGCCTCCACTAATTACACATTAGTTTGGATCAAAAATTTTCTTTTAAATAATGTAAACACCCTGGGATACCTAATCAGCTCTGTACAAGAAAATTAGATAAACACATTATCATTGGTTATTAGGGCTTTGCATGGGGAATTGAAAAGCAGAGAAGCTGAAATTGAAACAAGGAGACAAGACGTGATGAGGGGCTTTGGACACTTGGAAGACAGCTGGGAAACTCTATACAAGGAAAAGGCAGGAGTCATTTTCTTGTGTGTTTGACATTGGATTAGGCAAACGTTTCTTAAATAGGACATAGAAACAAATTTTTAGAGGAAAAGTTGACAAAAGTTTTTGTACAGTTGTATTAAACTATTACAGCTAATAAGTTTTTAAAAATGGGCCAAAGACTAAGCAAAATAAACCAGTTAGAGAAAGACATATACCACATGGTCTCACTTATTTGTGGAAAATAATGAACACAATGAGCTGATGAACAAAATAGATCCAGAGACATGGAAGTATAGAGAACAGACTGACAAACCTCAGAGGGAAGAGAGATTGGAGGGGTGGGGGGTGGGAAGAGATAAACCAAAGAACTTCTATGCATATATGCATAACCAGTGGACACAGACAGTAGTGTGGGGAGGCCAGAAGGGGGATGGGAGTGGGGAGGAGGGGGTCAATGGGGGAAAAAGGAGGTCATCTGTAATACTTTCAACAATAAATATATACAAAAATAAAAAGTGAATTAATAAATAAAAATGGACAAAAGATTCAAACAAATGTTTCACAGAGGCTATGTATACAGAAGGATGCTCAACATCTCTAGTCATCAGGAAAATTAAAATTAAAATCACAGTGAGATACCACTACAGATCCACCAGAATGCCTAATGTTAATGAAGACCAACATCAAATGTCAGCAGGATGTGGAACAATGGAGCTCTGATACATTGCTGACAGACCACAAGATTTCAGTCGCTTTGATGAACCACATGGTAGTATCTTAGAAGGTTAAGTATACAATTATAATACTACCACTACCCAGTAATTCCAACTCTAGGTATACATCCCAGAGAAATGAAAATATATGATCTAAGACCTATATGTAAATAAGTCTAATAGCCAACATCTGGAAAAATCCAAAAGTCCATGAAAAAAAATAAAAAGGTAAATAAGAGGATGCCGTAGGATATGAAATATTTGGCAATTTTCTCTAGGCCCTAGAGGTAGTATAAACCAGCCTAAGAGGGTAAGTGTGAAAGGTTCCAAACCTTGGTCACTTTTAGTTGAGTCAGGTTTCTCCCCTTCAGTCCCATTGGTCTTCCCCAGCCCAACCTCTCTCCCACACCACTCAGCTTTTCTATGCCACAGGGGCCCCGAATCTTCACGTGAAAAATCACGTCTATAGAGGAAGTAGCATCTGCTGAGATCCAAAAAGGTGTCAAGTATTTTGATAGGTGCTTTACATGTGTAGTAGGTAACCCTTGGCTACAAACAGTAAGTAGGCTACATTTGAGTGAACAATCCAGCTATGCCATGCTCTGTGCACTTCAAACCCAGCGCTTTCCGATTCCAACAGCTATTTCTCCGTGGACTTCTCCAGTGTTCAGATAAGTCTGTTTCCTCCTCTTGTGTCTCCCCACGCCTACTTCTAACCCAGCGCCTCCTTTTCCCTTTTCTGTATTGCAAGCACCATATGGTACCTTGAAATCGTCTACCTAGCCTAGAAGGTGGATCTAGAAAACTCTGGTGATAACGAACCTGAGTTACCCTCTTTGCAGAATGTGAGATCACAATTTCACATTTCCTTTTAAATTCTTCCTACAGGTATAAACTAAATCCCCCCCCCCCCCAATCACGGTGATACATGCCAGTCCTCCACAGTATCATTTGTCCTCAGTCGTCCTCTCTTGAAGGCTCACACTCCTGAAAGCAACCCAGAATCCAATGAACCAATCTTTCCATAATAGAATTACTACCCAAAGCTTTTTACAGCACAAAAAAGGACTTTTATTTTATTATTTTCTTAAATTTCATTTCCAATTATACATTTGTTGAAAGTGGAATACCAAAGGCAATTTTCAGTCACAGCAACTCCATCAAACACACAGAATGTGAGATTTTACTGCTCGAGTGAATTATAGTCCGCTCAGGGTTTCCTGGTTAAAGAAGATCAGACTCAGATCATAGAGAGAAAAAGTGAAGAACATTGTTCTGTAGAAAATTTGTTGAACTAACAATTCATTCCTGGGTGCAGTGTCTTTTTTTTTTTTTTTTTAAAGGAAACTCTAAGATTCCTAGAAACACAAGACAATATTTGCATTTTTGGATGAGTATACATTCATATATTTGTGTGAAAATTTGTGCAATTAAACAACATGGAACATGTTATTTGTTACAACAGCCAATGAAAATAGATTTTCATTTCTATATAAGTTAGACATTTCCATCTCCCATTTTATGTTCTGCAAAAAAGCCATATGTCTAGTTTATGAAACAACTATGCTAACTGAAAAGGAGCTTAACAGTCTTAACTACACACCCCTGGGTTGAATGATACACTTTGCATAATCATGTGCAATGCCAGATGATGTTTCTAGATCTTTTATAAATACAAGGGTTTGCAAGCTTCTACTTCACGTAATATGCCCCATATCCAGTCAGTTCAGCAAAATCATCAAGCAAAAACTGAAGTGGGTAGTCTACAAAAAGGCAAACAGTCCCTTTGACTAAATTGATCATGTTTTGTTAACATAAGGATACAATCATTGTAGGTGCCAAATAAAGAAATCATTTGTAAGTGGCTATTTGTTTCTATTCATTTTTCCCCTTCAGGAGCCTAGAAGTTGACTTCATTGCTTCTTAGGCCCAAAGAAAACAGAGCTGCATACACAGAAGCAAACAAAACACAAACAATTCCTGTGCTTTATGCACATTCCTGTAAGTAGTAAGCTAGAGTTCTCCATAGGAGAAATGTCACAAAACAAAACAAAGAAACCTGGGGATACAGCAGAAATACAGGATCATCTAATTCCTAAAATTTTATCTTACTCCAGTAACTGGTGTAAATGTTAGTCAAAATTCCCTTTTTTCAATTTAATTTATGTTTCCCCTTTTCCTTTAGTTTACTTGTGAAGCTTGGAATAGTGTATTTTCAAGAATCATTTACCAGAGTGAAGATCTGCACACTAGTCAAACAGTATACTTCAAATCAATATATCTATTGTCTCACAGTCTGGGCTGGACAACTTCAAGCAGGGAGTGAATTCATTTTACAAAGACAAACTTGCTTCTGCAGACACAAGGTAGTACCTGCAGAAAGGTCTCTGAAGAAGGGAGTGTAAATCTTCTTTGGCATATTAAATGGTGTACATACACTTTTTTTTTTCTTCCCTGTATAGATGATCCTTCAGGGCTACTCCATTTTATTTAGATAATGCACTTTTCAACTTCTAGCGTATAAATCTTGCCCTGTGTTGAATCCTTAGAGTGAATTTGAGATAACAAGTAAGTGTTGTTGTAATTTGAAAAGACAGATAAATTTAAGGTACTACTGTAATATTCATTGAGGTGTTAGGTCAGTGACAAATTTCTGAGGTGCAAAGGCTTATCAGTTCCTTGATTACCTAAAAAGTTTGAGGTTTGGTTTCCATGAATTACAAGAAAAACAGGCTCAATTTAGTTTCTCTAGGTTTCTCTAAAGTTCTTGTATGTCATTTTCTAGTGATCTTTGTTCCTACCCAAAGTTCAATAGAAAAGTAAAAGAAACAAGTATTTTTTTTTTCTTTAATATAGTTTTTAAGGTACTTACTGCACTTTGAAGATTTCTAGAGAAAGGAGCTGGTTCTCTTTGTTACTTTATATGTTCGCACACAAAGGAATTACAGATGGGAAGGAGAGTGCAAATGACTATCAGAAAAAAGTCTCATGCATTTAAGATTTTTTACAAGTCAAAATATACATCCTCCTATTGCCCCTCATTCCTTAATTGTATAAGAACCATTCCTATTCATTGGTCTCCTTTATCTCTCACTGAATTGGATAAGGAATAAAGATATATTTCTTGTTAAGGAGCAGTATATATCTAATATCATCAGTTTAATCGATTGCATTAATAAGAAATAGAGCAGCTTGGGCTGAGTCACCCATCATAACCTCCATTTATGGGGATTTAAATGTGTAAAATGACAGATACATGAAATTAAGAGAAAAAATAAAGCAATCTGCAGATTTGGCACTAGCACACATAATGTTTTGTTTGAGTTGTTCGAAATGTGGTTTGACAATCACTAGGAATTTAAAAAATCGCAAATCTGCAGAAAACAAACAATCATAGGTGTTGGCTTTCTGTTTAATGCTCGCTCCCCATCTCCCATTCCCTCCCACCCTATATAGTTTCCATTATAATAAAAATAGAGATCTTAACATCAGAATTTTGTTGTTAACTCTTCACCGTTTCTCTGTGTCCTCCAAGCCACACATAGGGTTTGAAGCACCAAATCCACAAGTTTCTCCGACCAAGGTTAAATAAACAAAAACTGAAGACTGAAGGATGTCAAAGTAACTGTTCTAAAAGAAGCTGTAACACAAAGTTCTCCCCAAAACATAGGGTATCAAGTGTCTAGTTCAAGTACTGCCAGGCTGTAGGTACCTGTCTCAGACAGGGTTCAGACCACAACTACATGTATCACTGGTTCTAGAGGGCATCATCCATGACACCAAAGCAGGGCAGGGATCATCTTTCCAGCACTGATTTTTAACAAGTTGCAAACCCCCCTTGTGATTGGCTGCCACAAGGTTAGTGCTGAACCTGGGGTTTGAGGGAAGAAAGGAGCCTCCTCAGCAGGGAAGCTCTATCTTTAGTTTGAACAGTTCTCCTTTCAGATCTCTCTCCCTCGCTCTCCCTCAGAGCCGTCCTGGCTTCTCAGGATCCACTGCCCTTGCCCAGAAGAGAGTGCCTCCTTCTGACCCAGTAACAGTGAAAGAAGAGTCGACCTACCTGTGGAACCAGACACAACATGGTCCCCAAAGGCCACTTAGGCGACCCCAATGCAAATGACAAGTCAACTTGTGCATTTAAAGCGTATCAGTTTATGGAACGCTTGTTTGAAGTCCTCATTGGACATGGTATAGATAATGGGGTTAATGAGGGAGTTGAGATAGCCCAGCCACGTGAAGAAGTCAAAGATGGCCAGGTGGAACCAGCATGCCTCTTTGCAGATAGGCAGCACTAGGGAGATGATGAAGAAGGGCAGCCAACACACAATAAAAGCTCCCAAAATGATGCCCAGGGTCTTGGTGGCTTTGCGCTCCCTAGCGGCCATGAGTTTCTTCTTCTCCAGCAGGGCATCAGAGACTCGCACTTTGACTTGGTTCACGTACACAGGAGACCCTGATTCGCTGGGCACGTCAGGAGCCCGCGAGTTAATGGAGGTCACAGAAGACGTGGACCCAGGAGAGTCCGTTATAAGCTGGGCTCGGGTCAAACGCTTGCCGGTCCTGTTGGGAGTCTGTTTCAAAATCCGAGAGCGGGCTTCCACGTAGATGCGGCCATAGAGGGCGATGAGGAGCAAGGTGGGGAAGTAGAAAGCGCCCACCGTGGAGTACACTGTGTAGAGGATGTGGTCGGTATTCACCACGCAGGCCGACACTTCCTCTTCGGCTTTGGCCTGCCGCCAGAAGAAAGGTGGTAGCGAGATGGAGATGGAGAAAACCCACACCAGAACGATCATGACCGCCGCCCTCATGGGAGTCCTTTTAGCTGAGTACTCAACGGCGTCCGTTATGGCCCAGTAGCGGTCCAGGGCGATGACACAGAGGTGCAGGATGGAAGCAGTGCAACAGGTGATGTCCGACGAGAGCCAGAAGTCGCAGACCACCTGGCCCAAGGTCCAGCGGCCGGTGACCGTATACATGGTGCTGATGGGCATCACCAGGATGGATACGAGCAGGTCGGTGACCGCCAGGGAGGCGATCAGGTAGTTGGCCGGGGTGTGTAGCTTCCGTGTCCGGTACACAGTGGCAATCACAAACGCGTTGGAGAGAGTGGTGGCCAAGGTGATGAGCGCCAGCAGCACGACCAGTAGTACTTTCCAGGGCAGGGCAATGGAGTCCTGGTAAACGTAGGTCTGGGCGCTGCAGTTGTGGGAGGGAGCAGCGGAGAGGTTGGTTTGAGAAACCCCAGTCTGGGAGCCCGCAGGCGGCGGGGCGCACTGAGCGCTGGTCTTCTCCATGTCTCTCCTCGCCCGGGCTCCGGAGCGCAGCTCTGTGGGCATGGAACGGACGAGGGAGAGGAGGAAGGACCGCGGAAGAGACCACTGTCTTGTCCCCCGGTTGCTAGTTAGTCCCGTAGGTTCCTCAATTATTCCTCCACCCAGGTTCCCAGCTGAAACTAGAGGTCAAGGGCGCGGCAGCCGAGGCAGGCTAGCGCGTCCCCTGCACTTGCAGTGCGCCTTGCGCTGCCTCCGGGTCTCTGGCTGCTCCTCTCCACTCCCGGTCTTGCTAAGGACTGGCCCACCGAGTCCCCCTGCGCTCCGGATTCCACCGGGGCGTCTAGTGGAGGAGGGAGAGGTATTGTTTGAGGAGGGAGCATTTGCCAGGCGGGGTCTCTTACTCCAAATGCTCGGGCATTACCTAACCCGGGCGCTCCTTGAGCTGCAGAATCGGCCCACAGGAGTTTTCTAGCTGTTGAGACCAAAGCGTGCAGGCCAGCGAGGAGTCCAGGTCTGACATTCCCGCCCCCCTCCCCGGGCTGTGGCAGTTGCCTTCGGCGGCTGCGGCCGCCAGAGTTGGGTGGGGTGAAGTCTGGGAGCCGCGCCGCGCCTCGCGCCGGTGCCCTGCCCTCCCTTCTTTTCACGCGCCGGCCACTCCGGAGAGCTGCCGCGCGGAGACGGGGCCGCACCAGGGGGGACTCGAGGGCTGGGGCTGAGGTTGCTCGCACGCGTAGCCACGGCAGCCAGCTCCGTCCCACGGGCACCACCTGGAGTCACGCCGCCGGGCGCACTGGTCTGGGAGACCCAGCGCGGCGCACCGGGCAGGGGCAGGTTTGGGGAGAGCTGAAGGGAAGCGCTGTGCGCCAGCCCGGGAGGAGCTGGTGAGCCGCCGCACCGAGGAGCTCCTTTTATAGAGTGCAGGTCCCGTCGTGCTACTCGTGCGGAGCGGCGAGTGCAGTTGCCCGCTCCCGAACACCTTCCTTTTTCGCTCTCCCTCCCTCCTTTTCTCCCGCCCAGTTCCCTCCCCGGCCAAGGAAGCTCCCGCCGGGTCCTACCGCCCTCCCGCCATTGCCCCTCCGTGGCCCCTCCAGATCCTCAAGCACCTAGGTACCGCAGTTTTGGCCTAGAATGGGCGTGAGGGCATCCTGTCCTTGCCTCTGTCCGCTTCAGAGCTCGCTGCGCTCCCCTCCAATTAGATCCACGCTCTCAACTGGGGGCACAGGCACACTTCACTGCGTCCCTTCCTAGGCTACTACCTACCACTTGCCACCCCCGCAGGCCAGTGCTAGGTGGAGCCAGCCCCAGTATCTGACCTCTTGGCTCAGCAATTTTATCCAGCCCTGCTGGCCACACCCAGGTTGGAAGGAGGCACCAGAAATGTAGCCTAAGAAGGAAATGGCCAACAGTGCATTTTACACTTCAGGCATCAGGTCATATTTAACTCTTACTATAGTACAAACTAATTTTTCATATCTGGCTTTAGGAATATGTGTTTTTCATTCAATTCCTCCCCCCTTTAACTGTGAGTCAACAGAAAAAAATAAAAGAAAAATTTGTGTGCAAAAATGTAAAAGTATCACTGTATGTGAACTTAAACCTTCTGCTCCACCCTCCTGCTCCAGCTGATAAGCAGTTCAGTGCCTCTGGAAACTATTTTCAGCTCTGAGAGCTAACCCGACTATGAGCTCCCAGGGTCTGCGTCAGTGTTTAGCAGGTAGAATGCATCCAATAAAAACTTACTTTGTAATTGAATTTCTCAGGTTAATTCTAAACATATTTTAAAGACTGAGTTTTATTCAGTCTAGTCTACAGCTAGAGATTACCTAGCCCATCCATTCAGTTTTGAAAAAGTAATTGACATCCTTTAAAAGAACTTTTTACCCAAGGTGACACAACCCTAGTCCAAGTTCTTTAATTCCTGGTCCCTAATCCAGGCAGGCAGGCAAAAATAGAGTGCCTACTCTATGCCAGGGAATTCTAAGATCAGGAGTATTGTGGTCAATCAGGTAGACCCGGACCCAGTTTTCAAGTAGTTTATATTCTACAAGAGGCAGACAGACAATAACTGAATGAGCAAGTAAATAATTAGCATGCTTTCTTATACTGTTAAGTGTTATGAAGAAAATAAAACACATTCATGCATTAAGAGTGAGAGTACTCCTTTAACTAGGTGGCAGCTCTCTAAAGGCATCTTCTGAACATCCCTGGCTAGACTGCAGCAGCCACGCTGAGAATGCACACACAACCTTCTCTTTCCTTTCCTGGCCTTCCTAGCACCCAGCACCGCTCTGGTAATATTAAACCTCATTTGCACCACATTTTAAGCGGTCCTGCCCATCCTCCCACGCCACCCACCCACATCAGGCGTCTAGCTAGACTTTATTATTTTGCAAACTACATCTTTCTCTTAGAAACCACAGCAGAGGGAAGCAAAACAAGCAGCCTAAACCACTAGGTGGGGGCGTTGGCCAGGATGGAGCAAAAAAAAATGTGTGTTGCTAGCGGGGGTGTGCCAGGAAACTATTTTTCTGCTATTTTCGGGGAACGGGCAAGATTAGAGAGAACTGTTGAAGGGTTAGCAGGCAGAGGAAGGCAGAGAGGAATATTAGAAGCTGCGGATAGCCTTTTCTTTTTCAATTTCTGCTCCAGTAGCATGCAAAGGAGAAAACCACTTGCTCCTTCTAGGATTTGGCTTTGGCGATGAGGAAACCTGTGGCTTTCTCCAGCCACGTTTTGGCTGCTTTGCGGAGTCCTGGACCCTGATTAGAATCTGCCATATCTGGGCGGAGTTTTTTCCCCCACCCCCAACCTTCTCCTTGGGTTATGAATTGCTTGAACACACCCAGCCATCATACAAACAGGATTTTAACAGTTTAGCTGAGAGCCGCTTTTCATTAACTTGGCTCCCAGATTTCATTCACTCCTTTCGCACTTTAAAATATATAAAATGTTAGTGTTTACACATGAATGCATGTGTGTGAACCTGTAAAGACAGCAGGAAACCTTTAAAATTGGCTATACCTGGGTTGCCCCTGCGGAAGACGCGGCCCTTAGGCGTGATCCCAGTTGCGCTAAGAGGAACCGCCCTTCAAGTTTGCTGGAAATTCAGCCCACGCAGACAGCCTGAGGGGCGAGGAGGAAACAGGGATCCCGGTGGGGTATCAGAGCGCAGCAAAAGTTAGTTGCATAGAAATCGCTCCTGTTTGACCACCTGGCAGGAAAACTGCGTATGAATGTGCTGGCCTCGTTCACGCGGTGGGCTTTCAGCAAGGGGAAGGATAAGGATGGAACACCAGTGAAGCCTGTGATCAGACACGAAGCCTGAACTTGCGTGTGCTGCAGACGGACCTGAGAAGAATCGCCCCTCAGAGAGACCTGTTCTGTGCTAGAAAGATACGGTGCTGCTGGTGCGGTGAAATGAGAGGCGGCGCAAGCTTCCAAGTTTGCAGCAGGGCGCTAACTAGACTGATCGCTGTGAAGAGAAGCCTCCTCCACCTCCATGCAGCCAGGACGCATACTCCACTGAACTTGCTGCAACGCAACTCTGCTTTGGCTGCAAGCCCACTAGCCCTCCGTCTGGGGCACGCTTCCTTGCATTTCCCAGAAAGTGCCTCTGAAGAGAGGTCTAGGCACAGGAGCAAAGAAAGTACTTGTGAGTTTATCTTTGCCCTGTTGAAATGAAAAAACAAACAAAAAACACTCACTCTCTGGGCACTTTGCCCCCTTTATAAAGGAAAATGCAATCTTACATCTTCTATCTCCACAACTTGAAAAATCCACAGGCAGTCCCTAACCACAAAATGTGGGGACCAGCTGCGTCCTCTTATTGCAAGTCCTGCTTTTCCTCACTTGGTCAGCAGACCTTGAGCTCAGTACAACCTCATGTGTGGCTTTAGCTCTTTGCTAGGTTCCCTTTATGTTCCCTCCAGTAACTATTCTTTAAAAATTTGTTGGTGACAATGAAAGTACAAGTCTTACTTATGTCTTGCTTGGTGAAACTATAGAAATGTTCAGATAAATGAAGATGTGCGTACAGTTTTTGCAGATAACTTCTGGGTGTTAACAGATCCTCCAGGCTCAGGTACCTTTCCACCTTCATCGCCCCCACCTTGGGCCTTTGACTTGGAATTTGTGTCCTGGTACTCATGTGCTGTGTGCTTCAGGAGGGATTTATACGCCTTGCCAGATAATAAAATTAAGTGCTTTATTTTCTAAATTCTTGGCTGGCATAAATTAATCTATGAGAATTAGTAACTATATGTTTAGATATAGATACAAATATTTTGTATCTGTATTTAAGGAAGAATATAGACAAAAATTAGAGCAAATAGAAATAAACACTTTCCAACGCCTGTCTCTGGAGTAACAGCCTCTTCGTTGCTTTGAACAGATACCTTCAACAGGTTGGTTACTGCTAGGTCAAAGCTAGCCCGGTTCCAACAGTGGAAGAGCTAGTTCCCAGCTAAGGTCTCCTAGCTGAAGACCTAAGTCTCAGAAGAAAATTTCTAACCTAAAACTTGAAGTTATATATAAGCAGAGGTTGCATGGGGGAAAAGGGCATTGCATTTTTCTTCTTGGACAAACAATGGGATGTGACGATACTAAGAAACTTTTGGATAGCAAAGCAATGCCAATAAATCCACCAAACTTAGGAACAACTTACTGCTTTAAGTTGGCAGCATCATTAGACAGCTCTGTTCAAGATGAAGTCTCTCCAGGAAAATCAATTCAAAGACTATAATAGTGAAATTGTCCACTGGCCTAAGGAAAGAAGCAATAGAAACTGGGTTTTGCCTTATTTTCAAGTAGGAGAAATTGCATCACTTCGCAGGATTAGTTTCGATCTTGCAAAAACCAAGCTAAGCAGTTTTATTGTTTCTTCAGCTGTAATTAATGAATAATCATCATTATGCTTTATTGACCACTATGTACTAAGCCTTATGCTACCTGTTCCATGTACATTCGCTCATTTAATTCTTATAGCGATACTAGGAGTTGTCATTTATCATCCTCATTTGAAGCTGAAGCTGAAATAATTTAAGTAACTTTGCCTATGTCAGACAGCTGGTAAGTGATAGAACTGGTTTTCAAATATAAGTCTCTCTCATTTTAAGGCCCAGCTCTTTATGAATAGTTTACCCTGATTCAGCCACACAGCTCAGCATTGGCAGCCCTTTTAAACATCTCGCCTGTGGCTTTATTTCAATCCACCTGTAAGGATCATTACTGCTCATAGCTATTTAATTCTCTAGAATAATTTTCTGTTATATGCCTTCAAATTTGGGGGGTGGGGGAAGATGGTGGTGGTAAAAATCAGGTAGAAAATTGTGCACCATGATTATGTTTAGCCAGTGAATTATCACTTCCAAAGTATTGCTCA